TTACAGCTCTAGGGCAGTCATACCTCTGCCTTGTCTTTCAGTCATGATCTCCTTCCCTCCAAGTGTTAGAAATTAGCCAGGCGCCAGGTGCGTTTTGCTACTGGCGTGGGTCCAACTGTGACCACGTGGAGATTTCTCGACTGACATCTCCATCTGGCTGGCCCCTCCAGCTTTCTTAAGCTAGTAAATAGAAAAGCTTATTTATTGCATCTAAATCCCAGATTTTCCTCCAATGAGTACATGGTTCACCCACCCCCACAGCTCATTCCTACAACAACCCTGTGAGGTGGGTTAAGAGGCCCAAGATCACCCAGTGAGCTTCATGACTCAGTGGGGATTTGAACCCTGATCTCCCAGGTCCTAGCCCAACACTGAATAAATATGGGGAAAGCAAAATGTCACTTAGAGGAGTATCTGAAATATTTTGCTTGAAGCTTGAATTTGTTTTATTCTGGATTGTTTTATTTGATGTTTTAATGTGTTGCAAACCGCTGTGAGGTTTTTTCTTTAAAATATAAAGCGCTATAGAAATGAAATTCATCATCATCATCATCTCCACTGGGCGGGGAATGGCACATAGACATACCGTTGTGGTGGCCCTAATCTAGGTTTAAGGAGCCATTAACTTATATATCTGAGTTTCTAACCCTGCCTCCTTCCCCCTCGTGACTCAAGAGGGAATATGAAAGCTTTGACTCCACATTCTCAGAAAGCAGAGCCGTGCATAATGTTAACATGCCCTGCCATCGCACTGGATGCAGAAGCGACTGGGGAAGAGCAAATGTCAACAGGAGAATCGTATTTTCCTCAAAAAAAAAGTGTAACATGACACACAGAACAAACATGGTTCCATACGCTGCATGTTTTGGCTACAAAATGACTTAAGCAGAAAATGACAGTAGTTGCGGTTGTCCTATGACTACCAGATATGCTGTCATGGGGGCTGGAAAGGAATTCAAGATATTCCAAGCCTAAAGGCAGATTCTCATTTTACTAGTTTGTTCTTGTATATGCCTATCCTGAATACTAAACACATACACACCTCATCAAGCGTGAAGGGCACACGTGTGTAAGCAGGAAACTGCCTCCTTAAATTTTTTTGGAAATTCACTTTTATTTATATTATGAGGCAAACCAAACAGGGGGTGTAAGTGGCTGAGGGAAGGTCAGGGGGTATCTTATAAGTGCAATGAAACAGAAATGAGGCAAAGATTAAAGGGGGGGACAGGGGAGAGAAAAACAACGCCTCTAGGAAAATATTGGGAGGGAATGTAGATAAATTAAACGAGACAGGGACAAATAAAGCAAGAGAGAACTTGGAAGAACTCTGGGAATGGATTTGGGAGAGCTGCCCCAATATGTGAAAGGAAAGCATGGGTGGCCATGGGGACAAATGCTGCCCCCCCCCCGATGAACCATAACCCCCCATATTCCCACCTTTCTTTTTTTTTAAAAAAAAGAGTTACGTTTCTAGCATTTGTAGAACCTGAAGTATAAGTCAAAATGTGCAGACATTTATTTTATTTTTATTTTTGTGAGTAACTAGCTTGCTCTCCCCAACACTGTTTTACTTCACATCCCTCCCCCACCACACACACCCTGGAAAAGAAAAAGGCACATGAGAAGAAAACCGGGGTGGTGTGACAAGCAGGGAAATGGCTGTCTTTTGAGGAGGATGCTCTATAATTTGTGAGGCAGTGAGGACGAAAAGTTGAGGGAGCAAAGAAAGAAAGAAAGAAAGAACTTTGAATGGATCTTGCTTTCTTATGAGGGGACTGTGTCACAGGTGTGTCAAAATATATATAGAGAGAAATGGAATTATGGGGAGGGGAAATTTCAGATCGCTGTGTCAGGAGCCATAACTCGGTGATAGAAAACATCCCTTGCATGCAGTGTCAGTTTTCATCCCTGGCTAAAGAATTAGGCGTGGGGGAAAGGAACTTTTCTCCTAGCTTCCGAAAGCTGCTACCAGCCAGTGTCAATAAATACTGGTCCAGATGGGCCAGTTGTCTTGTGCAGTGCAATGCCGCCTCCCTTGGTGTTTTCCTAGATATTGTTTTTATCAGCAAGATTTAAATCAATAAAGTTTCTTTAGAACACATTAGATTTATTCAAAAACACCGAGTAGTGCTTTTAAGAGACACGTGCATATAAAAAGCAGCACGAGAAGAGGCCCCAGGCGTCCTCCTAGGCATCTCCCTCAGAAGATATTGATAGATGGTTTGACCCTGACTCGGTCAGAATTTCCTAAGCCACAATAGAGCACCAGGCCTCTCACGTACAGAGGCATTATAATCCTTTTCCTCTTGAACTTATGTTACTTGCAGTCTTCCTGTTTTGGATTAGATTAGAGGGCTTTGACAGTATAGAGTCAGCAGCACAAGGGCTGCCCCGTTGAAACCCTTACGTAAGCTATAAGGCCTTGTTTTTTTTAAAAAAAAAAAACCTACAAAAACCTCGGCATTCAATTTTATAAGGCTTCTGACATGCATGGGGCTGGTGGGGTGGGGTCAACTATAATCAAGACGACAGGTTCGTAAAGTAGACCTGTAATGCTCATAGCGGGAAGAGCTGAGTCACGATTCTTGACACTGGGGATTAACATTGTAAGACTCCTGGGCCACTGCCCCAGCTGGCTAGGAATCAGCTGTTGAGAAAGCACTTATCACCCTTCCTTACATACCAGAGATTGTTCCCTGAAAATGAAATGCCACAATAACTTGTTATAGGTGAATCACAGAGATGGAGAAAGAAATAATCTCCGAATGACTGTCCATGTTTTTCAGTGCTGGAACTCTTGGGACACAGAACTGGAGCAATAAACTGTCCATGCGTAACCTCATTTTTGTCATGATAGTCATCGCCAGACAGGAAGATAACAGCATTGCTGCAGATATATCAGCTAACCATAGACACACACACAAACAGCCAATGTGCTCTTGAAGGTATTGAATATACAACTGCAACGGCATCAGTGGGCATACCCAATATTCTTACATGCTGAAGGATCGACAAAGGCATAGTGTACTTCCGAAAACAAAACAAAAAGCATATTATTGAAATGCAACAAACAGTTGGAACAAGAGGCCTGGGGTGACATCTAAGTGGTGTGTTATCTTCTGCTCCTGCCTTCCACAGTCCCTTGCATGCCCCCAAAATCTGCTCTGGATTATTGGGGGAACTTCTGGAGCAGAGGGGAGGAAAGAAAAGTCCCAGTGCATGAGTGGAAGTCTGCTTGAACCTCAATGGATATTGCTAAAAATATATTTGGCCAATACTTCACTGGATATTTTATTAGTTTCACATTCACCAGCCAGTTGAAGGGCTTGCTTAAAACAGATAAAGATGTACGTAATATAACCGACATGTTAATGCAATACATCAACAGTTCCTCTATAACTTGGGTGACAATAGAACAGGAAACATAAGCTTTTCTTTTGTGTTTACACTGGACACAAAAGAAGCAGGAGCTTCATTTTTAATCTGGATGTGCTGGCTATAACTTTAAAAACTATACTATTTTAATGTTAGTTTGTGATTGTATTGGTTTTACTGATCTTGTATTGTGTGGATTGCATTTAAATTTTGTAAACTGCTCTGTAAGGAGCTATCCCAAAATACACGGTATAAAAGAAACCAACTCTTCTACAGTAGAAGTAGCTTGTGTCTGCTGCTGCTCAGTGTAGTTCTGGGGGTGGGTAGGTAGACCCACCAAACTTAAATAAGCATTACTGATTTAGATTCAGAAAAATAGATTCTGGCTCATCTCATTCCAATAGACTTTTCATGAAAATTACAGGTGAACTACATGTAGGGTCACTTAATCCTAAACCAGCGACAGAGGGATTGCTATGTAGGTAAATGAAATTGTTGGATGCCTCAAATATTTCCTAAAATCTTCTTTACCCAAAGGCATCGTTTTAATTGATAGGTTTTAAGCATATTTATTGCATTCTGATCTTTATTTGTATTTTATTGCTTTTTGATTTTATAGCCATTTTTGCCAAAAATGCTCAGCAGCACTGTATATTAATTTTCTAAATAAATAAAATTGCATATGCTAATATTAACTATTTTTTTTAAAAGAAAAAGGGAAGGATAAGGACAGGAGAACAAGGGCATAAGTTGAAAACATTGCTTCGAACATTGCCTCTGTCAAGCACTTTGGGGATGGGAGTTGCTTTTACAGGTTTTAGCTTTTCATCCCACCAACGCAGCAAACTGCTTTTAAATCTAAACACAGGAAATGACTTCTAAGTGGCATCACAGCGGTCTCAAAACATGCCCACTAACTGCTACGCACACAAGAGCGTGAGGAGAATAGCAGCAGATCAGACCAAAGGCCCATCTAAATCTAGCATTTTGTCCCCAAAATTGCCGGTCGGATGTCTATGGGACAGCTACATTAAACTAAGCTCATTTTAGCTACACAATGCAACTCGTCCAACAAGATTTTCTTTAGGTGGAGAGCAACAATAGGAAATATACCATTCGTTTCCAAATGGTTTAGTCAGTTCCTATACAGTGGTACCTCGTGTTACGTACAGTCCCCCTTACGAACGCTGCGGGTTACGTGCTCCGCTAACCCGGAAGTAGATGCCCCTTGTTGCAACCTTTGTCCCGGGATGCGAACGGAAGTCGCGCTCCAGCGGTGCGGCAGCAGCAGGAGGCGCCATTAGAGAAAGCGCACCTCATGTTACGAGCGGTTTCCTGTTACGAACAGACCTCTGGAACGGATTAAGTACGTAACATGAGCTACCACTGTAGTAAGATGCAGCCAAGGCCCAAAACATGTGACTTTTCAAAAGAAGATGTTGAAAAACAGAACAGGAGAGACAGACTGGGGGTAGCAGGTTTATCCCTGTTCTACACTAGTTTTACAGCTTTTCTTCGAAGTCTTGGGAAGTGTAGTTTGGCGCAGACTCTGAGATTTATGTTGTTGGCTTTCACTATTCCCTCCATTCCAAACACACAGAAATACAATTCCCCAGGGTTTCCTACGGAGAACAAACAACTTTAAACAGAGTCTCTCTCTCTCTCTCTCTCTCTCTCTCTCTCACACACACACACACACAGAGAGAGAGAGAGAGAGAGAGAGAATTAAATTAAAACTAGGTCCCATGTTGCCGATTGCGGTCAAAAGGAAGATCCCGGGTCAGATTTGCGCCATGCAACTGAATGAATTTCCTTGGTGGGAAATTGAACGAGCTTCTTTATATACCCTTTGACACTTTCTGGAACTGCTGATGTGCGCCTGCGTAGGTCTCTAGAGACTCAACCCAGACACACTTACCTTGCAAGAAGTCTTAACAAAATGAATTTGTCTGCAAGAAAGCAATTCCCCAAGCATCTATGTACTGCAAATCTTACTCAAACAATAAACAGCATTAAGGGCTGGTTCTTGACATCCATGCAATGTTTTTTTACTTCCACCTAACCTGACCTTCCATCCCAGAGGACTGTAGGTACAACTGCCTGAAGTGAACCAAATATAGTAAACACAGTATGTAGAAAATCCTACTGTGCCTTAGGGCTTATCCATGTGTGTATTTTCTTAAAGGTCTGACCCTGTTTCTGTCCCCCCACCCACAAAATGTTCTGTCCAACAGACTGTGATTACTTAGTGGAGTTTAGGTGCTTATATAAAAAGAGCAGATTGAAGGCTCCAAGTTGTGCCTCTTGCCATCTGCCAGCTTTGTTCTTCTTTCTCCTACTGCAGAAGAATCACTAGGCTAGAGAATCATAGGATTATAGAGTTGGAAGGGACCACAAGAGTCATCTAGTCCAAGCCCCTGCAATACAGGAATCTTTTGCCCAACGTTGGTCTCAAACTCGGACCCTGAGATCAAGAGTCTCATGTCAACAGAGCCATCCCAGGGTTGTTTTTGTAGGCATCACATGAGATGGTTTAGGGAGGGCATTCCATATTTGGGGTGCCACTGTTGAGAAAGATCTCTCCCTTGTTACTGAATAAAAGAGACAAACCCAATCTTCATCAATTTGGGCAGGACTAAGGAGCTAGTCTTGTGTGAGGAGCTACAGTGGGTGCTGAAGAAGCTGAGCTCCTTTTGGAAGGGCATCAATTGAGGATTGCCCAAACTACCAAAATGGATGTGGCCAAAGGGGTCTACACCTTCTCAATCCAGCATTGTGTCTTTTCCTTCATGTTTTGGCTTCATACTAAGAATGTGCAAATTTTAATTCACAAATCGACCCTACTGATCCTGTGATATAGGATTAGCCTCCATAGGCTGAAGCAGCCAAACCACCTAAAGCAATTTCTTCATTCAGTTAAGATTCATCCCACAGTTAGGTGATTTGGCCACAATTCACACTTGTGTTTTTTTTCCATTCCACGAATTATAGAATCATAGAATTGTAGGACTGGAAGGGACCATATAGTCCAGGCATAGGCAAACTCAGCACTCCAGATGTTTTGGGACTACAACTCCCATCATCCCTAGCTAACAGGACCAGTGGTCAGGGATGATGGGAGTTGTAGTCCCAAAACATCTGGAGGGCCGAGTTTGCCCATGCCTGATATAGTCCAACCCTCAGCAATGCAGGAATCTCAACTAAAGCACCCATGACAGATGGCCATCCAACCTCTGCTTAAAAACCTCCAATGAAGAAGACATATCCCATGTTGATTTCATATTTTATTTTTGCATTTATATCCCACTTTCCCTCCAAGAAGCTCAAGGTGGCATGCATAGTTCTGTTCCTCCCCACTTAATCCCCACAACAAGCCTTTGAGGTAGGTTAGGCTGAGAGTGAGTGACAGGTCCAAGGTCACTCAGTGAATTTCATGGCTGCATAGGGGTTTGAACCCTGGTCTCCCAGGTCTTAATCCAGCACACTAACGACTGTATCACATATCAGTATAATAAGCTGAATTTCCACAAAGTCTGCTACTATATAGTACACATATGTTTGAAAGGGGAAGACCAAAGAAATGCTGATCTGCCATTAGCACAGCAAAGTACGGGGTCCAGACCGTTTTAAGGAACATAATGAAAAATGACATGTTTGCAAACCACAGGCGCCTTTAAGACTCCTGGGCACTCACCTAAAACAAAAACGAAAGTGAATCGTGCTATCCTAAGCTAAAAGAAGTCAAAACACACCCTAAAGCTGGGTGAACCAAAATCTAATTCTGACAACAACATTGCATGTTAAATTGAACAAGAACAAGCTATTAACTTGATCACGTTTGATTAAACAGAACTTTGTCTCCAGTGGCTCTTAATCTCTGTCATTCGTCAGCACAAAAACTTGTGGGATTTCATAGAATTGTAGAGTTGGAAGTGATCCTGAAGGTCATCTAGCCCATTTGCATCAAGATAACCTCTGTGTCATATACAGTATATGAGGCTGAGGAGTGGAAGTATATGAGGCTGAAGGAGTGGAAGCCAGGGGTGGGTGGGTGGGTGTTTGTAAAGCAAAACCAAGCATAAAGCAAAATCATCACAGAAAACAGGTATGAAGCATCGAAGCAAAGATTAAAAGCAGGGAGGGCAGAGACATCAGTAATACATTCCAGACTAACCGTAATCCTAGGTATCTTTTTTTTTTTTTTTTAAAGGTATATACTGGTTCTCTAATCAGTCTGTGGCTAACTTTCCCATAGAGTACCAAGGGAAAACAAAAAGGTGGATGATTCACTGTGTACTACAAACACCAAATGCTCAAGCTCCAACAGGTCAAACGACTCTCGTTCCAAGCGTTAGAACTGAAAGAGCTTGGAAGGGCCACCACGGACACAGCTGCAGTGAAGACAGAGTGTCCTCAGTTGAAATTTTCCATTATTACAAGGAGAAGCATTGGCAAACCAATTTAATATGAATCACGGTGCCCTATAAAGACAGCCAAAGAAGCGCAGATTGTCCAAAACAAGGGCCTTAAACTGCGTGCAGCATTCCACTGTAGAAGTCATAAAACATCTTTGCTGCCCCCAAAAAAGTATCAGAAACGTGGATTCAGAACTTCCTGTGATCCAAACGTCATTTTGTTGAGCATTTGGTGCTGGCATACGTTGAGCTGCCAAATCAAAGCCAAAAAATAAAAATATAAATTACAGAGCACTTAATGGTGCTTAGACCCTAGGACAGGGGTAAGCGATGTGGTGCTGTCCCAGAATACTTAGATACTTAGATACTTCCTTTCTTCAGAAAATAATTAACTGAAATACTTGTTGGAACAGTCCGACCCAGAGAGGTTTTGCTATATTAAATAATACTTTATCCAATGTTCAAGACAAAACAGAATGTGTTAAACATCCATTTGTTCTGGGATTTATTTATTTTTTTTAAAAAAGGGAACAGCAGATATTTCAAAAGAGGATTAAGGTTAGCATTATGATAACAAGCCTCTGACACGGTCACACGGAGTTTGGGAACCTTTGCTTTCATTTTAGGTCAGTCACAGCTTACTGTGTCTAAAGATATAAAAATTCCAGAAATTCTGAAGCTATGGGGAAAGATGGGGGTTTTCCCTTGAGAGGTTTTCTGGGGGGGGACAGAAATCTGAGGGGAAATTGAAAAAAGTGTCATACTTCAAAGAAAAAATAAAAATAAAAATCTCACCCTTTATGGATCGAGTCACTTCGTTATACACCTTTAGGTGCCAGGCAAAAAGTTCCTCTTTAATCAGGCCTTTGGATGATTTGATTGACATCCTATGCGCTTTTAAAAGGGGGGGTGGTTATTGGGTGATTGTTGTTTTTATTTTGATTATGTACTTTGTGGTTTTATACTCTGATTTCGTCCTGTGAAATTATTACAAATAGAGATACAAGCTAGCGAACACCAAGGGACCTGTAGCCTCTGGTTTTGCCAGTTCATAAGGATCAATTAAAAAAACCAGAAGAAGCCACTAACATTAGAGTAAAGAAAAATTTCATGTATTCTGAAAATTACTATGCCTTGTTTCCAGCGTAGCACTAAGCCACCATACCATCAGCACAAGGATGTCCACTTGTGTGACAGGACTTCTGCTCCCCCCCAATAGCCCCCCCCCCGGCCTTCCAATTCTAGCTGTGTCGTCCAAACCCAAACAAAACAGGGTTAACCTTATGGTTTGTTGAAGCAAGTCAACTTCCAGTCAGAGTTTATGAAGCTGGGCTTAGCCAAATGGGCTTAGCCAAGGGAGGGCGGCGGGGGGGCAGCTGTCCCCCCATTAAAAAAATCAATAAAAATAAATAGCAAATTGAGGTTCTGCCCCCCCCACAAAAGGCCTACCCCCCCCCAACAAAAATCCTGGCTACACCCATGACTAACCATCGTTAAAATTAACTGCAATTCAGGATGAAAACGACAAGCTGCATTTTAGACAAAACAGAAGTAGCCATTTCCATTCTCCTCATAGCCATACACTCCTCATAGCCATATATAGCACACAAGGCCAACACTCGTTCTCGTTATGTCAAAATGCAGCCTTTGGCTTATGGGGAAAGGATACACTTATAGCAAATTGTGGCCAAATTAGTCACAAGACCATAGTTGTGAACTGGCCAGAAATGTGACATATGTCCGAAACTGATGATCTGGGGGCTGAGGAACAGGGCGGAGGAGACTGTAGAAGGCCATATTTGAACATGTCTCAGTATCTTGATGGTTGTGAAGTTTCAACATGCCAATTGCAAGCTGAAGAATCCCTCGATGGAATCTCCCACAGACTCTTAAGTAATTCTATGAATTTAACAGAATTACTCATAAGCTCACAGCTGTGAGCTGTCCAGTTCAAGGATAGCTTCTCTTTCCAAACTTGACAAAAGCACATGAGATGTGGCATGAAAAGCTGATGAGAAGAACAGGGTTGGGTTTTGGAAAGCCATATTTGAACATACCTTGATGGTTGCAAAGTTTCAACAGGTAAATTGAAAGTTACAGAATCTTTCAACGTTTTGGGAGGGGGGGGACTCCCAAAGAGTCTTATGTAATTCTATGAACTTCTTCCTGTTACTGAATTATTCAGAATAATCTTGTTTATGCTTCTGAAAGAGTGCCTTGCAGCAAATAAGTCAGCACTGGGCCAGAACAATTCTTGTGGAATTCTGTCAGGACCTGTTCCACAGTTGATCAAGAGATATCTCTGTGTGTAGACAAACTGTCCCTTTTGGCACCAAT